AAAAAAAACTTAAGATTGGTCTGTGTTATGTTTTGTCATGTTTTTCTAGAAATATTATGCATTTAAAATATATAATAATCAGTGTATAATTCTTTGTTTCTGTAAGAGCAAAAGGGAAAGTAATAATGTTAATATGAGTATTACCTTGGTGAGAAGTATTATGTAATCTAGCCAGTATCTTCATAAAAAATTAAAAACTCAGTTAAATGAAAATCAGTAATTTAACACACTAAAAAAAGCCACATATGCAGCACATTAGTACATTTGCACTACTTAAAGTGAAAAAAAAATTTAAATAAGCCCCAATAGCTCGCAACAGAAGCCTGCAGCCCCAGGAGCTCTATAGAGTCCTGCTTTATTTAAGTTTTAAAAAGTAATTACCAAGAATGCACTTGGAAGAATTATCAAACGAGAATATATAGAAGCACTTTTTTTCTCTATCATTCATTTGTTCTAGCAAAATTATTATGTATACTTGATATGTAGCTATAGATTTCCTCAAGTTTGATTTCCAAGCTTTTGAAAAACTTTTCTTTAAAGATTTTATTGTTTATTTACAGACATTTCTGTATGTTGCTTGTATGTTTATGTATATGCTTGCAGGTTACTTCAGTGGTGGGTAGAGAGCCTGGAGGTGCAGGTGATTGTGAGCATCCTGATGTGGGTGCTTATCAGGAACATAAGTCAGCAAACTCAGGTCCTTTTTTGTATGTGAATGATTAGATAAAATGTTTTCAGCTCTGTATCCTACAATTTACTAACAGCTTCTAAACTTCAGTTACGAAAATAAAGACAGGCAATTGACCATATCCATATATCAACTTTTCTGAGAACGTATGATTCATACATCCTTTCATTCCAAACATGTGGCTGACTGTAAATTATAAGACATTCTGCTTTGTACAGAGGATGAATTATAATTTGCAAAATGGCTACTGGCTATGGATTTTATTTCTAAGTAAACATATAAACAAATATAGCAGAATATTAGTGAATAGTTTTTCAAATTTCTTTTTTATTTATTTTTATTTTAAGTGTATGCATGTATTGTCTGCCTGTATGTAAGCACACCCATGTCATGCAATGCCTGTAGAGGACAGAAGAGGCCTTTGAATCCCCTGGAACTAGTGTTATGGACAGTTGTTAGCTGCCATGTGGGTGCTGAGATTCAAATCCTGTTCTTCTTCAAGAACAGCCAGTGCTCTTAACTGCTGAGCCATCTCTCCAGCTCCGGTGAATAGTTTTTAAATATACAGGAAATGTTTGGAGAAAAATAGAAGTGAACCCAAACATAACTCATGGTGAGGAAAGAAGTGTGATGCCAGGGATGGGTACATTATAGCTATGTTCCCAAACACAAGCTCTCACCCGAAGGAGAGGAGAGAGGTCACTGGGCATGGATAGCAGAGTATAGACTACAAGGAAGCAAACTGTGGGCCCACAATAACTAGAGGTTAAAAGACTTTCAGACTCAAAAGACTATTGGAAGGACTGGATAATTTATGTTAAAAGAGGTTATATATTTTTCCCCTGAAACATGCTTGCAAGGAAGCTATAATCAGACTTGACTTTCAGAAACAATGTTTTGGAAGCAATGTGGATGCTGATTGGAGATGGTGATTGAAAAGCAGCAGCAAAGGGCTGGAAAATCTTGGGAAGTTGAGAGGGAAACCTAGTTGAGAATTGCAGTGTATAACAGCAGCTAAAGGAAACGTTCCATTACTTATGTATACATACCCATATGAACACACAATAGTGATGGCCCGCACAAGTTCCATGTAAGCTCAAATCTAACAAAATCCTAGCGTAGATGTAGAGAAGTGCATAAGAAAACCCAATCCTACCTGAGGAGCTATTGGCAACCAATGGATGCTGGAAGTGCAGAGGTAACAAAGGAGGGTACAGATAAGGAAGGGGCTCTAAATATGATCAGAATATAATGCAACTTCCTCCTTTTTAACACTGGATATTTTATTGCAGTGGTATCATGTCTACTAGTCATTATTTCAGACATTGTGGATTTTATCTCTAGAAGTTCAACTTAGAACTTTAAAAAACACCTTCCATGTCTCTACTTAACATATTTAACTTTTATCTTGTTTAATAAACATATAGTATACAATTTAAAAAATTTCAACAGGGACTGGAGTGGTTAAGAGCACTGGATGCTCTTGGATAGAACCAGGGTTCGATTCCTAGTACCCACATGGCAGCTAACAAGCATTCATAACTACATTTCCAGGGGATCTGAAGCCTTTTTCTTACCTGTGCGAGCACTGACAGCACAGGTGCACCTACCTACATGCAGGCAATACACTCATACACATAAATAAAAATAATAAATAAAAAAAAAGATAAAAAAAGAGGAAACAAACATTTCCTGATCTTTAATTCTAACTTTTTAAAAGATCAATATCAAAATGCTTTATTTTATTTATTCTTTAAAAAAAATCTTTGCATGGGATGTTTGCATATAGTATATTTTTCTTCTATGTTACTTTATAAATATGCTACATCTCTAATGAATCCCATAACTTCTTATGAGCAGAACTCAA